ACTTACAGGAAAGGGTTAAAAAAATAATCAATACAGACATTGCCTTACACCCTTATGGGCAGAAATTTTTATACCTAGCTTACTTTGAATATTTCTGAAATTGTCCAGTATCCACAATGAAGGCATTTTTCAATAAAGAGATTTCTTTTTGAAATCCAACTTATGTATTAATACACCAATAATCTAAAAATTCTGCATAACTCCTGCCAATAATGCACAAAAAACCCTGCAAAGCAACATTTTCACTAAATAGAAGAGGTTGCTGGAAATCTGTGGCTACACCTCTCTACTCTGCCTCATGTCCCCTTTCTATCTGAAGGGCATATCAACTTTTTTTTTCTATCTTTAAAATACATTACTAGTTCTATTAACAAAATAGATGGCTGTGAGAAGAGTCACAGGGGACTAAGTTCAAATTTGGGCAGCCTGTTCAAACAAAATTTTCCAAGTATTACTGATAATAGAAAACACAATTTTTTGACATCAGGTTCCAGTGTTAGATATATAGTGTTTAGAACTTATAATAATAAATAAGTGAAAAAAAAAATCCACAGAGAACACTTACTGGTGTACATGAAGTTATTTTTAGTTTTAAAAACTTTCTGACAAAAATATTTTTGTTTCTACAGAAAAGTCTATAATTTCATTCCCTATGTCTTTCACAGACAGTCAAAACTAGTCCAAGATGTGCTCTACCCTTGACAGTTTGTAATGAATGTGAATTACTCAAATAACTCGCAATGGGCCTTTGGGTGTGGGTGGATGACTGCATCTACAAAGCAGAATACCTGCAGCATATTCGTAGAATACAGTGATAACCTTCTTGAGTCTCCCTTAAATATTCAGTACTTAACTGGTCCCCAGAACAAATAACAAAACCCAGTAAGGTCCTATAAGAGTACCACTAACTGATCTGTGGCTACTTTTCCTGTAAAGAAAGCTCATCTGCTTTTACATGTGTAGAAGTGTATCAGAAAAGCAGTGATACACCTGTTAGGATGGCTTCTGACTCTCAAGATGGGCGAGATGTGCATCTCCACACAGTGTTCACAGGCAGGATATACAGGCCTAGGTAGTTTGTATGCAGTCCCAGTTGTACTTCACTGCAGAATTTGACTTATTAGTCATAAAAATAATTAAGGAATTAAAGACTCCAATTTATTTTTCCTTCCATGACATTACATTTTGGATGGAATAGTAATAGGTTTGGAATTCCATAAGCTAAGGATAAAAAAAAACCCAAACAATGAACTAAACAGAAAAATAACCCCATGATACCTTGGTATCTTATATGTAGTCTGCCTTTAAAATGTTACTACAATAAGCTTTCTATGAAGTATTAGCCTAACACAGTAAAAGGTCACACAGATATAAAAATCATACTTTCAAATTACTGTTAATTCTGAAAATTAAAAATTCTCAAGAGTTACTTCCAGCTTTAGTAGATTTATATCTATAAAATGAGATGATACCCCTTCAAAACTTTCAGTAAAACTTCAGAGGAAAAAAGGAAAGAAAAAATCCCGAACCAAATGAAGCTTATTTGGATGTTTTTCCTAAGAATCGAGAAAAAAAATTAAACCCAAAAAAAAAAAAGGAAAAAAAAAAAAAAAATACACACACTATGCTACATGTTATACCTAAACAAGGTTTAATTAAGGATAGAACTTTAGCTTTCACTTATCAATAAAATATAAATATATAAATTTAGATATTCAAGTTCAATTGATATTTCCTCCAAATGTAACTTTTCCAGTGCCAAGTAATCCCAGTTAATGTTTGACATTTTAACTGAGGTAAAAAATGCAAGCAGCTCTACAAGGGTCTATTTAAGCTCATGATTTTCCCCTCCTAAATATCTCAAAATAAGGAGTACATCAAATATAAGAAAGGAAAGGTTACTTAAAATACACTGTATATTCATATTAGATTGCTTACTGCTTTCATTTTAGCCACACCCACCTTTATGTAATTGTAAAATATGAGAACAGTGCAGCTGAGAAATAAGAAAGCTTAAAAGAATAGTTGTTTCATGTAGTCAAATACGTGCTAAGCATGGATTTTAATTAAAATTAAAAACAGGTATAAATTGCATGCTATTTAACATGACTAGTGGGCAAAAATGCACACGCACCTGTACAATACTGAATTACAGGGTTTTTTTTGTAAATTAGCTATGAGTCAGGACAGTTATTTCATTGAAAGTGAAAGTCAGTATTTGTGAGTGCACTTCCACAGCGGAGTAGTATAAATCAATTCAAATTGTGATATTTCAAAGTATACACAGCTACAGTGAAACAGCTTTGTGCACATTCCCATACTGACCGTCAAAAACATTTCTGAAAACACTCTGAAAGTAATGATGCAGAGCTAAAGAAATGAGTGCTAAATCTCAATAGGATCTGGCTAGTATCTCAATTTCAAAGATTAAGTGGAATTTTCTATCAGGGCACAAAGGTATGAATTGCAGAGACAAACTAAGCAGCTATTCCCAGGAAAAAAAAATAACTGAAAGTGCAATTTACATACTGGATTAAAAGAATCCAGGGAAACTAGGGATTTGAGACAGAAAAATCTCCTTGAACTGTTGGATTTCTGCATTACACAGAAAATACCTTGAATCACAATCCAGTTGCCATGCTGGAAACGCTAAGTTTTGCATTTCACTTTAAGACTACACGCTCTCAGCCATGTACACAGAAATCTTTTGTACAGGACTTCTGCACCCCAACTCTTCTCTACGTCCCTCCTACGTCCCTCGGTTAACTCGTTATTTTCGGTGGCCGGAGCGCTAAGCGCAAGGCGGCCGCTTCTGGCTTTGAACGCCACGGAGGGATGCGCGGGGGGGCAGCGGGGGGACGGGGGGGCAGCGTGAGGGGGAGGAAGAGGAGCGGGGAAAGGCTGTGACCCGGTCCAACCTCACAGCCCCAGCCCCGCGTCCCAGCAGGCAGCCAGGGGAGGCAGCAGCCGGTCCAGCCTCGGCTGAACGGGCGCCTTAACGGGGGACCCGATGCTGCATTCGCTGCGCATCCTGCGCGCCCGCCAGCTCGACGGCAGCCCCGGGCGCCCGCCGCTCACACGGCATCGGGGAAAATATCCATACGCCTTCCTACCTCCGGAAAAAAAATGTAAATAATAATGATAAAAAAAAGGCCGGGCGGCCGAAAGCGAAGAGGGAAGTAGGAAGAGGAATACAAAGTAACGCTTAGAAATTGTGGCTGGGAAGGAGCCCGCTGGCCTGGCAGCGCCCGAGCTCCCTCCCGGCCCCGCCGCACGGTGCTGTCCCCGCCGGCGCTCTCGCCACAAAAAGATGCCTTGTGAGCCTGGGTGCGCAACTCCGAAACGCGAGCGCCCACGCCAGAGCCGGCCCCGAGGGGGTTAAACGGCGTCGTGGAGAAAAAGGGACCGTGTCACATATTATGTGTGTGTCTGTGTGTGCGTGTGTGCGTGTGCGCGGAGGGGGAATCGCCCAGCGCACGGGCTGCGAGAGATCTCGGCGCCTATCACAATAAGCACGATCGCGTTCATACAGCTACGAGAGACCGAGAGCTGCTGGCCACCGAGAAATGACACAGAGACAACCACCAAAAAATAGCTAAGCCAATGACAAATAGCGACCCGGGTGACAGAGACAGAGAATTTTGTAGGCGGAGAAGAGGAGGTGAATGGCCAGCTCTGATCACAGTATTAGGCTGGGCTATCTGTGGGGAGGGTATTTACTCGGTTTTGGGGTGTGTGGGAGGAGAGGAAAAACACCTACAAATAGCTGGCACGATTCAAATGGTCTCGGATTATGTTTCCCCCCCTTCAGTCCAGGAAGGAAACTCGCGTTTTAACGCTACGAGGGGAAAAAATAGCTCTGTGCAATAGGGGATGAAGAGCACTTTGGTCATTCGCTAATACCCAAAGGGGCAGAGATGATAAATGTGACAGCATGTGGCAGCACGACCGTCACCCGGGCTCCTGCAAAAGGCGGCTCCATATCGCGACACGGGAAATTAGGCGATTGAGTGGGAGGTGGAGAAAGCGCTTAAACAGAGAAGTTAATCTGCTAACATGGAGAGGAAACAAATGGAGAAAAAAACCCCGAAGGTTGTCCTCTATATATTTTTTTTGGGTGGGGGGGTTTCGGGGGGAGAAGGGAAAGGGAAGAGAAAGAGCGAAGGGGCATTAATCCAGCTTACGAAAACACGAGGAGAGAGGNGGGGGGCGGCGGGCGAGAAAGGGAGATGTGCATGTAAGTGTGGAAGTCATCCTGGCGGCTGCTGCTGCAGAGCCGGGAAGCAGGAGCCTCCGTGTCCCGGGCGCTGCCCCGAAATTTCCACGGCGGAGAGCGGGGGGGTTGGGAGGGGGGGAGAAGGCGGGAGGGAGGGATCCGCTGGCGGGGGGGGTGGTAGGGACCGGAGGGGAGATGAGGGGAAGCCTGTGCTATCATGTCTAGGGAGCGCGGGGCAGCGGGACCCTCTGGAGCTCCGGCTGTCCCGCGGCTCCCGCCCGCCCCCCCGCCAGCCTCCGCGCCGCTCTCCCCGGGCCGGGTGTGAGCGGCGCTCCCGGGATCCCCGCCTGGGCGCGGTGCCGGCCGGGGAGCGAGCGGGGTTACCTGCCGGAGACACGGCCGCTCCCGACTGCTGAGGCTGAGGGAAGCGAGTGACAGATCCGCCCAGGACCTGCCGCCGCCTCCCGGAGCCTCCCGGCCCGCTACCCGCCAGGCTTTCGAGGTGACTTTTCCCGGCGGCGGGGTGCAGGTTGCCCCCATTTTCCAAAGACGCTCTTCCCCCGCCCGCCCAGCTCCCTCTGCCCCTGCCGCGCCCGGTCCCTCCGGCTCTTACCGCCTGTGCCGGCGGCGGCAGCGGCGGCACCCACTCCGAAGCGCGGCGGTGAGGGTGGAAGCGGGGTCGCGGAGGGGAAGGGAGGTGAGTTTCGCGGGGCGGGAGGGCGGGCGGCCCCCGCACCTCCCCCGCGGCGGCGGTAGCAGCGATGCGATCGGGCATCACTCGAAAATGGCGCCGAAAGAGCGGAGGGCTCTTCATTCAAATTCGTTAGCGCCAGCCCCGCCGCCCCGGGGCATGCCGGGAACGGGGGGGGGCGCGCGGGGGCTGAGGCGGCAGCGCCGCACGGACACGGCGCTCGCTGTCAATGCCGCCCCTCCCCCCCCGGCTCCCGCCGCCCGCGCGCGCGCTCCACGCCCTCCCCGCTCACCGCGCGCTCCCGACCCAACCGCCGCTAATGGGGAAAGGGGGGGCGGGGGGGGAAGAGAGGGAAGGAGGGAGAGAGAGAGAGGGAAATGTCACCCGGAGCCCGGGCCCGCGGGGGAGAGGTGGCGCGTTAGAGATGTGTGTGGGAGAGAGGGAGCGAGAGAGAGGGAGAGAGAGGGGGAGCGAGACCTCCGCTGGCCCCGCGAACTTGTCAAGGTAAAGGCGCCGGTGGAAGGGAGGGGGGTGGATAGGGGGGCACGACAGCGGATTTTGGGAAGGTAGGGAAAGGAAGCCCGGCTGGGGGAGGGGGATGTGCGCCAAGAGGACCTGAGGAAAATATGAACAGCGCCTCCCCCCGCGCCTCCGAGGACCCCCGCGGCTCCCGCTGCGCTCAGGTTGCAGCCGGGCCCCCCTTGTCCCCCACCATGGCCGCGCACCCCGCCGCAGCCGGAGGAGGGTTCGGAGCGCTCGGCGCTTGCCCGCAGCGCGCGGGCCCGATCCCGATCGCGATCCCGACTGGCAGCCGCCGCTCCCCATCCCCCTCTTGCCGCCGCACCGGCTCCGGGCGGCAGCGCCCCGGGGCGCCCCCCGGCCGGGCTTGCGAGCAGCCCCTAAGCGGCGGAGTGCTGCTGTGTGGGCTCATCCCGGGACAGAGCGGGCCCGGAGCGCGCTACACTGGTCATTGCGAAAAGAAAAAAAAAAAAAAAAAAAAAAAAAAAAAAAAAAAAAAAAAAAAAAAAAGAAAAAAAAACCAAAAAAAAAAAAATACCTACCCAAAAAAACCAAACCAAAAAACAAAATACCAACCAAAAAAACCCACAAAAAGAAAACCAAACCAACTAAAATACCCCACACCGAAGAAAAAAAAAAAAAGGAAAAAAAAAAGGCAAAAAAGCCCACTCGGAGAAACTTCACGGAGCGAGGTTCAACTCGGGCAGCGCTCCCGCCTCGGCTGCGCGCAGAGCGCTCGGAGAGAAGGCGAACTTTCATTTTCACGCCGCATCCTCCCCTCAGCCCCAAGCCGACTGATCGTAAGATACCTGATGGCCGGGTTAGTGCTCTCATCCACGTTTCAGGGATGGGGAAGCCGAGATGGAGGTTAGCGAGCTGCCGAAAGCCGCTGGGGGAAGGCAGGCTGCAGTGCCGCCCGAGCCACTCGCAGCCTGCACTTGACTTGTGCCTCATGAAGGGTCCTTCCCTGGGAGCTCCGCGGACCCTGCCTCGGCTGGGAGACCCAGCGCATCCCTGCCAGCCGCTCCTCGAGCTTTCTGTCTTCAGTGTTTTTTGGGTTTTTTTTCCTAATCTGATGCACTTTTTAGAAAGGGAAAGGAAAGCAGGAGCCTCAGACCTGCAAACTGTTGTTCTCATTACTTAAAGGAAGACTTTTCAGCAGTACATAATGGGAGTCCGGGAGCTCTGTTCCCACTGACTTTCAAAATCTTCCCTTCACGTCTGTGAGCAAGTCCTCTTGAACTCGGTTGGACTGCTGGCAGACGAGCGCTAGCAGGCTCAGGGCCTAATGCTTTTCATGATTCCACTTCTCCCTGCTAGAGCTGCACTGACAAAATATAAGCAGAACAAATTTTGAAAGGGAGAAGTAATTTCTCTCGCTCTCTTTTTTTTTCTTTTTCTTTTTTTTTTTTTTTTTAATCCCTGCCACAGTACAAAAAAACAAGCTTTTGGGCTCAAAAAGCCTAAACCATCATGGCTACAAAAATTACTGCTGCTCAGAGAGCATGTAATTCTGAAGCTCCTTAAGGAAAAATGTAGTGCAATGCAACATGTAAGTAATCGCATAGCTAATATTATGCATTTATATTATTATAGTTTCCTCTGAATTGAAGTTTGGTAAAGATACCGATACCTAATTCTTTAAAACCAGGTTCTCAAGTGAAAATGAGCCAGATGACGAAACTTCAGTTTGTAAAGCCACTCTATTAAGAAGGAGGAAATATCAATTATTTGTAGTATATTTACTTTTTTGCTCTTTTATTAAAATTACTCTGAGCAAAAATTTTGATAAATATGCCTTTCAACTGAAAAGAATGATAGTCCATATTTTCTATTTTTTTTTCCTGAAGGTTATGTGTCTGTGAAAAGAAAACTTTGCAGTAGAAATAGCAGTGAAAACAGTAAAGAAAAATACAAAATTATGGGGTTACTGATACCATTTATCTGTACTTATATTATGTATACTTTTGCCCTAAAATAATTCTAGTTATTGTTTTTCACCAATTTTTCCAACCCTAATATGAAGATAAGATGTAGAAAATAGAATGCCAATATTCTGTGATACACTGTTTCTCTGAAACAAAATATTGACAGAATATTCTCTGAAACAGAATATTCTCTGAAACAGTGTATCACAGAATACACTGTTTAAATTCCTTTAATATGAATAGGACACTACTTTCAGATATAATTCCTAAGATTTCATTAAGGTTTTTAATGAAAGTAAAATTTTTACATCCCCTAATATCTAGTACTTGCTCTCAGGTTCCATTCTTAATGCACATAGGCCCCAGTTCTGCACAGACTGAAATATATATTATTATGTGTAAGCACACTGAGTAGTTCTCTTTATTATTATGCTCTTGTGTTTCAGACTTACAAAGCTAATGGTGACATTACACAATCCTTATTCTCAGAATTACTTAGGACTACGTAAAGCTTAAACCTAATGTGATAGTCTTAGTTTACACCTTCTATCCATATCTCTTAAATAACGCACAATTACAATAATTTGTGCATCAGCATGGGTAAATATTTAACTGAGAATTAGAACAAGTGAGAAAGGCAATTGCTGTAGTGTAAAAATCCATGAAGAGGAGGTGGCTATTGCATTCTTTAGCTGTAGCATCTGGGAAAGGATCATCAGTGTGTTTCCTCAGTGACTAGCCAAGCCAAAAAGTCACAGAAGGAACACAGCTGAGGACAGAAGGAAAAGAAAAGGATTTTGAGCCCCACCAAAAATAATGTAAATCTCTTAAATAAAATTTCCATCCCAAACAAATTGGACTCATCAGAGTGGTGGATGTCTTATCTGCTGTGGAAGCAGATATGAGGTTAAGTTGCAGTTTCTATAATCAACTCCTTTCTTCATACAGTTCTCATTATAGCACTATCTGAACACTACCTCATAGTGCCTGTCCTGCATTACAGGTTTTTCTCCTCAGAGAGTGCCATAAATTGTCAGAGAATCTCCTCATACAGTAAGAAGTGACATGATACATTTGTCATATTATCTGCTCTTTTGTTACCAAGGGAAGGAGCATGTGCAATTGAATGTTTTCGGTTTATTGTATCTCTCTTTTCTTCCATATGTCTTTATGTTAGTGAGGTAAGACTGAAGTAATGTGTTTTGTTCTTCAAGCAAGGTGCAGTTAGATTTCTGATGGCCCTTAGTTCTTAGGCAGTTTCATTCATTAGACTTTCACCAACTCCAAGAAAGTTCTGCTGTAGAACTTTCAGCTTTTTTCCCACTTCTTGCATAGGTCCTCTTATGCCAGACAAGAGAAACTGTTGCCAACTGGATCTAGTCAAGAGACCTAGAAGAGACTTCTTTAGGAATCCTGAGTTTATGCCCTGGAGAATCCTGACCCCCTGAATTTGTAAATTAAAATCTAGAGAAAATCAGTGTAAAGAAGGCCTTATAATAACCTACATTTCTGAGATGACATCCCCCCACAGCTTCCAGTACTTGGAGTTTCCTATATGCACCAGGCTTCGTGCTTGGGTATACTGGATTGCTTAGATCCAGTTGAGAGGTTGCAAAACCAAAGCAAGACACTTGTCTTGAAATGACACAGAAGCTCATAGCTAGGGATGGTTAGAAAGCTGGAGGCTGTCTTCTGGCTCAGGCATGCATTTACAAATTACCTTGCTATGTGTTTTTAAGATTTATTTTACAACTATAAGGATTAGAGGAATTTGTAGTAATGAAAACTGGCATGTCATTACTGTGTAACTTTTTAGTTAGATTATCTGGCTTGCCTGGGCTCTTGCACATTATTCTATTTCATCTGGAAAGTTCCTAGGTAAGTTAGACCAATTGGGGGACACTACGGTACACACACACACACACGAGTATAATAATTGTACACCTACATATTGTTTTGGTATTCAGTGTTTGTATTGTATATGGACATACAGCCAGTGGAAATTTGATTTTTTTCCTAGTATTTTTTTAATTTAAGCCCTGCCTTGCCCCTGATGCTCATCCAGCCTTCTAGATCCTTGTTATAAGTTCATCTAAGCCTCTCTTCAGGCCTCCCCTGTAAATTTTGTATCACTTGAAGTTTAAAGTTTCAGTTTAATAACGTAGAGTAGTTATTAGTAGTTGTTATTATAACTAGTAGTTGAGTAGTAGTAGTTATATAACTGTAGCTGAGCATCCTCCTTCATTTGTGTTTTGTTTTCTGCTTTAGCCGTTCAGTCTCTAATTTACCCTGACAAATACAGGATTTGGAATTCATTGCTTTTGCAATTTTAGTCTGCTTGCAATGATAGAGGTTGTAACCTAGAAAGGACTACAGTGGGACAGCATTTACTATTGTACAATGAAAACAGAGTTTTTAATTTGCCAGAATAAATCTGATCTAAGGATGCTGCTGTAGACTGTTAGGACTGCAAGAAGTATGTGCTGACTTAGGACATGCATATACTTTATTAGATTTCCTGTGAACTTCCACATGAAAAATAGTGGCTTTTTTTCTTTTGCCTCCTGATTTTTCAATAGCAAACCTTCCATTTAGATTTTTTTAAAGTCACTAAAATACTCAGTATAGCATAAAGATTAGTGGTGTAGTCATCAAAAGGTTGGATTTCTGTATTTTGTTAGCATCTTATAGTATTGACTCCAACATATCTATAGGCCTGACTCATAATAACAAACATATCCCTGAGAATTTAATAAAGAATTTGGTATTAAACTTAGGTTCTGTGGTAAAGTTTTGCCTAAATGGTCTAACTGTAACTTCTAAATGTTTTAGTATTTTTGTGGATTTAATGATTATAAAAAGTTCTGGCTTGGTATCTGTGAAAACTGAAGCCCATTCTTTTATTTTCATGGATTAATTACAGCAGAAGAGTGACCAAGTGGTCTTCTCCACAGCAGCCATGAACTTCAACCTTGAACTGAAGAAGACTCATCAAATGGTGAGAAAAGAGTGTGGTTGTCATGACTATTAAGTTAGGGATGCTCTATTATTTTTTCCTGTTTAGCACTGATTTTTTTATTTTATAAGTATTGAAGTTAGATTTTTGTCGGGTAATTTCTGGGACCATAACTTAATTTTTCCTCCACACCCTGTATTTCAGCTGTTAATTTTTCAAGCTTTGCTTTATTCCTTGCTGTCCCTAACTTCAAAAATAATTGTTAGTGATATGCTGAATTCATTAGTAAATTTCTTTATTACTTTCTTTAGCCTTAGTCCTGTGCTTAACTCTGTTCACATGAATATTTTTATCAGTAGCACTAAATTTGAAATTCAGGATATATGAAGCTGTTTGAAAGACTGAAATTTAAATTTTACAGATGTGAATGCCTGCAACTAAATGAAATGCTACTGAAATGAATGCAGGAGTGGGGGATCTGAAAGTGCTTTTAGCTAGTATTGGTTTGCTTGCTCTTTTGCAATACCATTTGTTTCTTTTAAGACTGAAAGATGCAAGATGTTAATTTGCTTCTCTAATTTCCCAGTTTCTGGGAAATTTTGAACTCTGAACTTCACAACATTTATAAAATTCTAGTAGTGTTCATAATTCTCCTGGGAAGAACAAAACATTATTTTGTTTAGCCATTTTATGAAAAGGTGACTGAATATAGAGTAACTACTTCTCTTTATATTTCACTGCCTTAGTCAGGTCTTTAATCCTAGTCATAAGAATCACTAGGTAATGATTTTTAGATGTATGGATTTATTAAGCATAGATCTTAAAAAATGAGGATTTTCCTTTCTTTTAGAGATATAAATAAAGGATGTAGTATCGGTAGCAGGGGCTTGCTTGTGTAAGAATATAGTTGTTAAGTGTTGTTGCTGGCTTCCTGATAATTTAGATAGGTAGCAGTTTAAAATAATGGTGCACAGAATGATCCATAGCTCAGGAGATGGATTACAGTGACCAGAATGCTCTCAGAGAATGCTGAGAGATATCCCAGATCTTTTTGGTATCTCAACAAATTTTTGTTTTCCTTTAGTAACTCCATTGTAAGGGAGAGAGCCCTATTAGTAGCTTATGATTTCCACAGTTTATCCTCTTGGAATATGGGATATTTACCATGTCTCAGCTGTTTACCAAACTGGGTTTGGAAGAACAAATGTATTTAAATAGCCAAGAGAGATGCTGAACCTTTTATGCCAACAACTGAGCTACACCCTGTGTTAAGAATTACTTTAGTACTGTTATCAACCACTAAACTTACTTAACCTTTGCCAAGGTTCTTTAGCATTTCATGTTTTAAAAACAAGGTTTAATACTTAAACCAGAAAGAAGTTTTCAGGCACAATGCATTAAGATGTAACCCAGCGGTCATTTATTTTTAATACCGATTCAACAATCTGTTTCTTTGTTCTTACTCAGCCATTTTTTCTTTAGTTTTCTTTTAGAGAGCTGATTCTTGAATTGATTTTGAGCATTTAACTATCTGCATTCTCTTCATCAAACAGTTAATCTTGCACTTAAGTAAAAATACTTGCATGAGTATGGGAGAGAAGAGCCTGAAACCACATTAGTCCCTTTGAATCTTGTATTTGCCTGTCTGGTAACCAGTGGGCTGGATTCCTACCAGCACCAAAGTATTAGTCTGACTGTTATTAGGGTAAGGAGCTGAGGCTCAGTTTTGAATGTGTTTTTGACACTACAGACCTAGTGAAAGATAACAATGGGATGTAAATTGGTTTCCAAATTTAAGCACTTCTTTAGTTGCTTAGCTGAGCAGAGTTTAGCTACTCCAAATGCTTAAAGTTAAATGGTTTTAAGGTTTTCTTAAGGCATTTTTTGAATTGATGTAATTCTTTCACTTCAGGAGAAGAATAGGTAGGCCAATGTCAAACTGTTTTGAAAGGCTTGTTTTCATTACCCTGCTTAGAATATAACTTTGTTTCTTTTGTACCAGCCCCTTTTGGCTAAATCACTTTCACTTCCCTGACTCATCTTATACGTGTTGTGTCCTGCTAACCTTTCTTCTAATGTCCAGTTTTCTATTAACTTTTTCACACTGATTATTCTTTGTCTCTCTTCTTTTTTACAGGAGTTTTAGAGTGGTCATTATACTTTTCCAATTTACTTCTTTCCTTCATTCAGGAATCCAGCAACAAATAAACCCCTCTGATTTCAAGCTTGCCTTTTAACTGAGAAATACACAAGTTAAAAATGTAGTGCAATATCAATAGAAAGGGTAAACAGAACATTGTGGATGCTATTTATAGAAAAGAAACTGGGTTTTTCATATTATTATAAACTATTCCCTAATTTGGGATATTGGAATCCAGGCAGTAAGATCAGGATTTTAAGGTGATGCTTTAAAAATCACTATACTTAATCTAAAAAAACCCCCAAAAATCAAAAAACCAACCAACCCAACTGAAAAACCCACAAAAGTACAGGTATATTGAATAGACTGATTAGGACTTGATGTAGCTGTTTTATAGAGCTGTGTATCATTGAACTTTTTTTAAGCCTTAGGAAAGACAGTATGGAGCTGGAAGAGAAGCAGAGATCTTCATGATGGGCAGTCATGGTAAGTTAAAAAAAATACTATATTTCTGTTAAATTTTCCCCTTTATGAAGCAACCTTTATTCAGGGCCCTGTTCACTTGCAAAATGAATCCAGTTTTACTGAAAGTGTCTGCATTCTCTGGATTCATTTATGCTATCACTGTGTAACAATTGTCCTCTGTTGTATCTGACTTTGTGGTCTAACTCCTGAATGAAAACAGTAAGTGACATAAAAATAATTATTTTCACAGTGATTATGCTACAGTGTTTTCATGCCTAGGTTCTGAGCAAAACAAGATATATTACAGGATCATGTTATCTCCTAATAACTTTCAAATCCACTGCTTAATTTCAGCTGCATTTGATATAGAGTTAGAGGTCACAAAGTCAAGTTTCTGCAATTTGAAGGAAATTTAGCAGCTGTGAGTAGAGAAGGGATTCAAATTAGTGCCCCTGGGGTAGAAAAAGCTGCAGCATGGACTCAGAAATGTTCTGTTCTGTTCAACCTGTTGCCTTGAAGGTTGGCATGCTTGGTTGGTCTGCCAGTCGACACATGTAGCTCAGACCTGGCCACAATATGAGTTGCCTCCTGTTCTCCTAAACATCAGAAGCTAAAATTTAGAGAAATCTGTTTAGAAGGGGATGGGAAAACAGCCAGGCTAGCTTCAGCACAAGTGTGTTGGTGGCACCTGTAAACATGCAGGTAGGTAGCTAGACATCATTATTTCTGCTAGTCATGAAAAATCCTTGGTTTTGCCAGGGCCTTCTAGTCTTCCAAAAAAACTGTGAATCATTCCATGATACGGTGTTTTCTATACCTGGATTAGAAAAATGTTTTTTTTGTTCATGTCAGAAAATGGAACTGTTGAGACAGCTTCAGTATTTCATTTCTTTGGTTGCTTGTATGTTAGCTCTGAGCTATTTCTGAGGCTGTTAAAATTGTAAATCTGTGTTTTCAGCTCTCTTCAGAAACTGATGGTAATTTAGGCTGCAAGCTATGTGTCCCTGACCCATCCTACAACCTACTCTTTTGGAACAGTGCAGAAAATATGTATTGTATTCCAATTAACTTCCTTTGTCAACAAAGATGTGGAGCTAGATACAGGGGGAGAAAACAATATTAGGATCTGGCTTCATCAAGTTACCACATCACGTTGCAACTTGGGAAATGCTAAATGTGTAGCTGTGTAATTTTGTCACCAAAATCATACTGAAAGATCTTGTCTGCCCATTCATCTCAGTCAGTGAGAAGTGGGCAGATTACAAGTGCCAGAGGTGCTGTGTTACTCACTGTTCAGGCTCAGGTAGGCACACTAACTCGGCATATGTCCAATATTTTTAAATTTTCTGAGTTATGTTAGACAGGGGTCAAGATACAACACTCTTTAAACAGAATTTAGTGCTGTAGCATATTATTTAAAACCAGTTGAATTTCTCAGAATAACAAGAGTAATGCATATGAATTGTAAAATTTGAAAGAAGTAACATGAGAAGAAACATTTCCAGTTCAGTATCATAAGGTAACTGTCTTGAAATTTTGTCAGATTTTGTTTGCCCAGTTGAAAACCATCAACCTGGCAGCAAGGAACAAAAGCTTGTGATACTCTTTTCAATTTTCTGGTAATTTTCTTTTTTTTTTTTTTTTTAATTTTTTCCCCCCACAAAATCAAAGCCAAGAAGAGAACAATTAGTCATTAAAAAGAAAAAAAACCAACAAACAAACAAAAAAAACCAACCCTCAAACACACTGCCTCCATTTTATGAAACTTTTGGGTTGTCAGATTCTCAAATCCTTTAATTTGGTCCCAGCTTTTTTGTTTATTTGATTTTAAGTATTGTTGTTTCTGCAGACCTATCTGTATTAAAGGAATGAAGAAATGTTTTTTTGCATGTTTCTATGATCTATTGGTTCTTAAAACCTTTATCACCAGTAGTCTTGCCTAGTGTCACCAGTTAAATATTACTTAATGGAACTTATGGCTAACCAGCTTTAAAATGGTTATAATATATAAAAATACTGTAATTGACAACATTTTTCTTTTATAGACCAGCATAGATGTGTTTTTAATAAGAAGAGCAAGGTCAAATAATGTGACCAGCAAAGTGGTCGTGTTGTTTTACACTTTTTTGTGTGCTTCCTGTGTTTTAAATAGTATTCACAAAATCCTTAAACTTAGCAAATTTTTTCATAAGAATTTTTTGTTTTAAAATGCTACAACATTTTGGTCTAAAAATTACTAAGTCTAAACTTCTTTTCATCATGTATTTTTGAAAACTTCAGTCATGGATGCTACTATATGTGGTCAGATACTTTCACATCAAAAAATTCACAGGCCTATGCTGCATCCCTAAAATGGATGCTGTGGGACAGATTTTAAGAAGGTTGAAGCACTAAAAAGTGACTTGCACAATAGACCAAAGAAACTAGGATAATTAATTTTTAGAAAGTGATAATTAAAAAATTATATTTCAAGTAATATCAGTAAAAGCTTCCATAATGTGCTGTCATTACATGTAAAATTCATAAGCAATTTTAAGCCAACATTCTTTAAAGAAGGAGCTAAAAAATTCCTATTAAAAATATGAAACTTAAAGAGGTATGGAACTCCTTTATTATGTGCTAAATGCTGTAATAAAACGGGCTATCAGTAGGTTTTACTGCATGTTACTAATTTTATTTTTTTAAATTTTGGTATTTTTGCAGGTGTGTGGAGGAACAGGTCCTGTTCTTGCTGTTGTTACTCCCACATAGGCAGACTCTGTAATTGATTATGTGTGGGTAGGGCCCTATTGAAATTCAGGAGATTCTGCAGTAGTGTGGGGTTCTTTTTGTGAAAGTTCAGTTGCAAGATCAGGACCCTACTGTGACTACTTACTGTGCATTCTGTCACTGTCTCATTGATTGTACTGGAACCTGCCTATTGGGATAATGTAAGTCCTGCTTTTCCCCTGCTTGTACTTTATGTGAATTAATGTGAATTAATCATGAAACATTTCTAATTAGAAAATTAGTATAATTTACATGAATTCTTTTAATTATGTTTTTTTGGCAGTACCAAATACTATATTCCTCAAAACTTCTTAATGGCACTGAGACTTTGTGGATAGTTGGTCACATGATGAGAAAATTCAGCTGTAAGTACATTAAAATGATTGACTTTTTCAATAGTTAGTCTTTACTGATGTTGGCAAACTAACAGTGATAAAAATGTGAATCAAGAGGTTTGACTTCTGTCAAATTATTTCAGTTCTTTTTAGAAAATATATACAGTATACCCATTAAGGATTTTATTATTCTTAGGTAATTCACCATGGGACCCTGAAGTTCTTCCTTACTGCAATTAGGTAGGGAGTTCAGAGCTGTTGGTTTTCTTTATTTTCAGAATGGTGTGTCTCTGACTTGCTCTGTGTTTTGACGGATAAAATTTTTGAAATTTATGGATCTATAAAAACTGTTTATACCACTAGTATTTGTATAGATATTGCAAACTGATCTACAAACTTAATTGTCTTGCTGCATTGAATACTGAAATGTTAATAAATATGCACTTATATTTGTGTCAGTGTATCTTGGTTAAATTAAACTGAGGTGACATTGTGAGTGAATTTGATCATACATGCTGATTAGATATAGTCTTAGGCAAGAACTACATATTACCCATATCATATGTCAGTGGATTCACCCAAAAATAGCTATAAATAGCTATGCTTGGGTTAAGGAGGAAGTTAATTTCTTGTAGTTATGGGTACAGTCATTGCTTTGACTCCTGTTTTTATATACAAATGAGCAAAAACTACATGTAGGTGTTTTCCCTGTATAACAAAAGGGGCATTGTAAACTCAGTGCCCTTTTTTATGATGTTGTATTTCCTTTCTGATATTTAAATTCAAGGATGTTTTCAGCTGTGTCTTAATACAAAAAAAAAAAAAAAAAAGTTACTGAATTTGTGGATTATTACCAAGTGGCTGTAAAGGTCTGGAGGGATTGTGTGTAAGGACAATTAGAGATTATTTCTCATGAAGCAAGGACACAGATAATAATTGATGAGTAAAGGTTAAGGAGCACAGGATTATTTTTATTACTTGGCACAAGAGCAGCATGAAATGAAAGTAATTTGAAGAATAAGCAAGACCAAAAGAGAAATCAGACTCAGATCAGAAGTATACTAGAGAGTCCAGTTAAAAAAAACCAAAACAAACCAACAAACAAAAACCTCCAAAACAAAGCCAAAACCCTTAATATATTTTTGAAAAATGTAACTAAATGGATAGCTACTGGTATTTTTCATTGCACCGACTATATGATACATTTAAGTTTAAAATTTTCCGTAAATGCTATTCTTGAAGTTTTTTGCTTTCTTCTGCTGGAGAGGAGTAGAAGAACTTTGAAGCATTAAAGAAGACTCAGTGACTACTTGTGAATTACAGTATGAATTGGGTATTCAAGATGGTGGTTACAACTAAGAAGAGAAGACAATGGGTTGCTATATAAAATAAGTGCTAAGCAGAAGCTGTATTTTCTTGTTCAAACACAAAACTTAATGATTTTGTAATATATCACCTTCAGCAGCGCTCAAACCATAATTTCATTTCAGAAATCTAAATCATCATTTCATTTCAGAAACTGAAATGTTTCAGAACACGGAATGTTTCATTTTACATAAAAAAATCTTGATCAGCCTATTTTCTTTTAAAAATTCTTAGACCTAAATGTTTTCCATTTTCACCTTTTAATCATATTGGCCATATAAAGTTTTTACTTGCAGTAAGTTGGGTGAAAGAAAGAAAAGCAGAATGAGATTAGATGATTACAAAAAATCACCCTAAACACAGCCTTCTAGTTGAGCTCTAGATCAGAAGTGCCTCAGAACAGATCTAATTTCAGAGGACGAAAGAAAGGAAAGTGACATGCCAGTGCATCCTGTATGAGGAATCCTCTGCATATTTCATCTCTGTCTGATTTTTTCTCTCATCACCACTGAGAGGGAGATCACCTGCGTGTGACTGCTTCCCCTTCCTGTGAAACTTCCCAGTACTTTGAGGGAGATAATGTTGGGGCATAGCTCTGTTCTGCCTGCAACAGTGCTACTACAAATGTTTAGAAGAGAAAGAACTCTGAATTGTCTCCTGCTATAACCAGCTCTTCAATACTCACTGCTGCTTAGCCCTGTTGTTGAGTACCTAATCTGATGATCTCTTTCATTTAACTTGTGCTGTGATGCTATAAATGGCTGAAACCAGGACCAAAGCAAGAAAACAGGTATCAAGAGAAGGAGATGATGTTTGGGAATGTAGGGAGTGGGCATTTCCTACACAGCTACACTTTTTCAACTCTTGAGAATCTTCAAGAGCTGAATTGCCAAACTACAGCAACAGAGTAAGTTTCCTTCTGTACACTGAGAAGGAAGAGCAAAGCAGTGTACCTGAACATTCAGCATGTTAACTGTAATTCTTTGAGATCTCTTCCCCTACTGCTGTTTGCCCTCTGCTTGTATCGTGACTGTCCTGAATGTAGCATGTCTTTATCTGTGTCCAATGAGGCACTCTTCACATTGTAACATCAGGAACATTGTTTTTCTTCAACCCTTGAAAGAAAAACATGGTAGCATAGATAACTGTAACATGTTAGTAATAAATGTAACATGAAAGATTTTTCTCATTCCACAGTATTTATAGGAAAAACAATGTTTTATGTGTTTCAAATACCTCTTCTTTTCCAATCTTAAGAAGATTTAATGCATGAAAATTTTCTTCAGCAATGCCCTCAGTTCCTTATTTGCAGTTGCAACTGTTGGTCTTTTGTTAGTAGGGTTTTTTGTATTTAGGTTGCTGCCCTCACAAAACTTCTCTGGACCCTTTATGAATGACACTATCATGCTGTCATTTATTTTGTCATAAAATCTAGTGTAAACCTGCATTTTAGTAATCTTTTTCCAATCATTAAAGGATGATCATTCGTCTCTGTCAGTAGGTTTTTCATAGATCGAGTCTTTATTAGGAAATCTTTTACTTTGCCTTGACAAAATGCAATCTTGCCTTGCTCATTCGCTATCAAAGTTTCACTGCTCTGCTGTAAATACCACTTCCCAAACCTACTCCTTTGCTATTTTCAATTTCCTGCTTAATTTTAAAGCAATCTGTCTTCATTTTCAAGGCTCATCAGGACTACTTCTACCTGATACCTCTCCTTCAGCATCAAGAGGTTGACTCTGGTTTCGATCAACATATGATGCCAACTTCCATCATTCTATCATTAAATTTTCAGATCACACTGAATATTTTCTCCTCATCTGCCTCTCATGTATTGGTTGACTTCTTCATAAACAGAGGTGTTCACTATCTTTCCTCTAATTTTTTCTTGAAAGTTTTATGCACTGTGAAGCTTTAAGCAATCCAACTAGACAACAGTTAGATTGTAGGCATATTAATGCCAATGCTTATCACAGCAGTACTGTGTCATTGCATTTGGACTCTGCCATAATCCCTCTGTTGTCTCTTTATGTAGAATTTAAGCATATCTGTATTTTGTTGTGTGTTTATTCATGGCCCAGTGTAATATGAAGTGGCTCAAGTGAGGCCTTCCAAGATTTATGGTAGTACAGATAAATAACAATGAACATACACTGGGCATGTAACTGCTTGGAAAACAACACAACTGTTTGATCCTGTTGTGCCTAATGCCACATCATAATTTAATGCAGAAAGAAGGTGCTCCAACCAGAGGCCTCACAATAGGAAAAGAAGTGAGTTGCAGCCAACAGAAAAAATGCTAATCCAAGAGGACCTCTTAGCTGTCAAACTCAAGTCTGTAGCTACTGCCATGGTGTCCTGAAAGCATTCCTCTCCTCTCCTCTCCTCTCCTCTCCTCTCCTCTCCTCTCCTCTCCTCTCCTCTCCTCTCCTCTATTCTCCCCTCTAGTATAAGGAACTAAATGCAAATATCACAAAGGTCTGCAGTGTATGCAGAAGGTTTTCTTATACTTTCATAGCTAACTTCATGTATTTCTTTCCTAACACAGCAACTCTTGGTACAGAAATCTTGAATAACCATAATTGTGCCATTCATCAGTCCTTTTTTCAAATGCCATTTGATCTCTGTTGGGAAGGAACCTACACTAATTTTTATTTGGTATCTTGGCACATTCCTATCTCATAATGCAGTGCTTCCATTGTGCTTCAAAAATAACGAGTCTTCAGAAAAGTGGTAAGGATTAATTCAATTGGGAATTCCCCAGGTGTGTCACCCTCTTTCTGTAAGTGGGTCTACATGTAACCCTTTATTTTAAGGGCACCCTGAAATGGCAGTATTTAGATTGTACAGAGATGGAATGTTGAGTGCCTGGCTGATTACAGAGATGGTAGATTGGACTGTGCAGACAAATGGTCCAGTATGTACCAAAGAAAATAGTCTAACTTGAAAAGAATAAACCACAAAATGTACTTCTGTGTGGTTCTATGGCTGAGTAGGAGAACTTTAGTAAGAGCTCTGGGCTAGTTGATGAGATGGAGGCAATTGCTGTGAAATATTGTGGGAGCCTGGGGAGTCTGTACAACCCAAAAACTTGATCATAGCAACAGTTCTTGATTATATATGTATAGACCGGATAAACTTAATGTTAGGCCTCATTAGGCCATCATACCCAGGCTGTGTATTTAGATATCATTGAGCACTAATTTTTGAGCAAACAAGATAGGGAATCCAGAAGGAGAAAGAACAGCCCTTGATTTAGTCTAGATCAACATACAACAAATAACTGGAAAAACTATTCAGGAGTGAGATATCATACTCAAGTTTGTTGTAGGAGAAAAAAAAGATTAAAATAAAGTTTTTTAAAATGCCAGTCTTGTTAAAATATAATTGTATACTAATGAAGACAGTTTAAATAAATATTAAAAATACACAGGGTCTTTGTTTTCCAATTCTAACCTGATTAAATATGACTTTTCCAACACAATTCAGCAGTAATAGAAGCTACTAGAAATAAATACAGGTTTTTTAAAAAGCAAAACCCAAGCAAGCAAAGCAGAAAAGAGCACGGTTCTGACAAGTGTAGACCTAGTATGAGGCAGAGGAAAAAGATTTTGAAATGCAATGGGCTAAAATTCTAAAAGCCAAACCCCATCTTTTTCCAGTGTAAATTTTGCTAGAAGAGAGGTGAGATTTAAAGATAGTTGTGGTTAAGGAGAAGGACAAAGCCATTACAGAAAGAAATTGAACTCATTGCACTGGCAAGGTTTATGACAGGATGATTAGGGACATCCCCGAATAAGAGTTGTTTTTAAAGGGAATATTTAGATCTGATATATCAGTAAAAGGTTTATAATCAAATTGATTGAATATAGATTAATAAATTGCCCAATAAATGCTGTTCATTCAGTAGTCCTAGAAGAATTCAGAAATTAAATTGGTGAGTAAACCATGAACTGTGTTGTGTAACCTGGTATTTAAATTAGTCTTGATAATAGAGGAATGGAAAGTAACAAATGTGACCCTAGTTTTAAAAAGGGTTTTAAGGATGGTCATGGACTAATCGATAAAAAAATAGCTACCATGACAGACAAAATGCCAGTGATTGTGATAAAGTGTACTGTTTATAGGAACATGGATATGTATAATAGAAACTATCATTCTTTTGTACAAGTAGTTTTGTCTTGGAGCTTTGCTAATTATTTGAAAGAATAATTTCAAAAAGAGTCCTGTGCATTTGAAAGATGCACAGGAAAAAGTGAGCCAAAAGTTTTAAAACAGTTCTGTAACTGAAGACTGTTAACAAAATGAAGTAGGGAGTCACTTAAAATTCTTTCTGGATTAGTAAAGGGTTAGTATAGAGACTAATGGGCAGTTTTACATTGGCCTCTCACAGAGGTTTGTACTGGAACCTTTGCTGGTCCACCTGTTCCTAAACAGTCTGGAAAAGTGCAATTGTAAATATTGCAGATGATAAAAGGAAAATATTCACAGTTGTAGGCAGACCTAATGTTGACCCTGAAGAGCTGCAGAAGGATCTCACAGCAGGACCTGTGGTGATCCAGAAACCATGGCTGTCACAGTGGCCAGAAATCGCTGACCCCACTGTTCAGCTGAATCCATCATCAGAGAGAGGCAGTGGCTGTTGGATTACAGCAGCCATCAGCCCATAAACCGTGAGCCCAGCAGGCTGTGACCAGTCATGCCACTCAGGAAGGCAGGGACTTGTAGCTGTTCTTTTTAACAGCAGGGCCTGCAAAATGAAGATTCTTTCTCCCTGTTTTCTCAGAGTTTCATAACCCAAACAAGCTTAAAGTACATGTTTTGAACTTGGAGTTCCTGCTTGCTACAGGGTTGGAATATCACTATGAAAGTGATAGATAAGGTCTTGCTGCTGTGGGAATCTAGGGCTCTCAAGCCACCTTACTGGTGTTTGGGTGGATTTTTAGCAGCTTCTCTTAATTTCTTAAAATCATTCTGGATCTGTAAATAAGTTTGTTGATTGATGATAAATTTTTAAGCATGAATCAAGTATATACTGTTCCCATTTTCCTAAATTTGTAGATTTTTTTATTATTCTTTTTCTAGCAGTAGCAATATTATGACTGTGCAGATCAGTTTTACTTCTACTGGTCACAAGCCTGTGGGCAATGGCCAATGCCAGTTTGCTGCTACTGCAGAAGCTAAGAGCAGTCACAGGCCCTAAAATTAATCCCAGGGGAAATCAGATAAAGAAGCAGAAATATTTCATGCAGCAACCAGATTCTGATGTTGTCTTTGGTCAGGCTTGAGCTACAAGCTGAATATGAGATTGAGGGGAATCTTTGCCTTGTATCAGAAAACAACTTGTGGAAAGGAGAGAGTGACTTCTGCTATACTGTGGGGAAACGTGGTTTCCTGAGTTTACTTGTGAGTGACAGGAGAGAGGGATTTATGAGTCCAAGCAAGGCATATGGGTATAGAAGCAGTCAGTGATGGGGTGTATTGTTAGGTCTGAGGATAAGTGCATAAGAATGAAGAACTCAGAATGGGTATCAGAGAAGGGGTTTCAATAAGAGTTGGAAAGATCACAGTTGGATAAATACACTGAGGTCAGTTGAAAGTCACTTTACTAGAGAACATGGCTACAGCTCTCTATCTGAGTCTAGCTCGCACCACACTTTTCCTAGCTACACTCTTACCTGTCTTCTGGAACCTCAGCTTCTTCTCCAGTTTCTGCACATAACCCTTTTAAGTGGAAAACCTACTTTACTGCTTACTCCAGGAACAATTACATGCAAAGGTACAAATGGTCCTATAAATCTTTATGTCTTCTGTCCCATTATACTTTCTTCAGCCTCCTGTCTGTGAAGTTCTGTACTGCAGATGCAGATGGACAAATGAATCACAGAATAGAATCATTTAGATTGGAAAAGACCCTTAAGATTGTCAAGTTAACCATAAACCTAACAGTGAAAGTCCACCACTAAATTGTGTCCCTAAGTGCTGTGCCCACGTCTTTTAAATGCCCTGGATGACCTGCTCTAGTGCGTATCAACCCTCTCAGTGAAGAAATGTTTCCTAATATCCAATCTAAACCTTCTCTGGAGCAACTTGAGTCCATTTCCTCTTATCCTGTCACTGGTTACTACCTGGGAGAATAGACTGACCCCCACTTGGCTCCACCACTCCTTTCAGGCAGTTATAGAGAGTGATAAGGTCTCCCCTGAGCCTTCTTTTCTCCAGGCTGAACAATTTCAGCTCCCTCAGCTGCTCCTCATAGGACCTGAGATCCAGACCCTTCCCCAGCTCCATATCCCTTCTCTGATGCTCCAGTACCTCCATGTCCTTCTTGTAGTGAGGAGCCCCAGACTGAACACGGTACTGGCAGCATGGCGTCACCAGTGAATACAAAATGATTCAAATGAGATGCTGTGGAAAACTGGCTGCACAATGGTAATGCTTCTCCTTTACAATGTACTGTTGTCATCTTCTCCAAGTGGGACATGTCCCATCATTCGAAATCTGCTGAGTGTAGATTAATTAATTTATTCCTTTTTCCCCTTCCTACATAACTCATAAGAACGTGATGGATTTTTCCAGATGAGTTATGACTTGTTTGTCTTACTAAACAGAAGGAAAAAAGTCTTGGATTTCTAAAGCCTGGTCTCTTTCATTTGCATTTTTCTGTGCTCTGTGATCTTCCTAACAATAAATTAATCCAGTGGATTATTACACCTACTGGTGTTGAATTGAAGCTTATAGACAGTGGGATTTCATAATTACTATTTTGCCAGTCCCTAAAAAGTTGTTTATGAAGACTAAAGAGTCTGCAGAAAGAATGAAAGCAATGTCATAGGACATCCCCTTAAATGAAAAGGTTTTTTTAAAATGCAGTGGGGGGTTTTTTGGCACTGATCTTTTCATAAGTCTTCAGCTTTAATTTAGCAGTTTTCCTTCTCAGTATTGATTATGATTGCACACTTATTTCTATGACTAAACTTAGCTAACAAGATACATGATTTCTGCTCAAGTTTGGAACTCAGTAATTAATAATCCTGTCAGTACATGACTGTACAAATAGATTATGTACCAAGATCACCATAACAATAGTAAAAAAGCCCCATACTTTTGGGGTGGGGGTGTTGGGTTGGTTTAGTGTTTTTTCTAAGAGGGTACATTCTTTTAAAAGGAAACTATTTTTGTGTTTCTCTCTTGGTCAGATTTCTATACTGGATATAGAGATCATTATTTGAGTTAGTCAACATTGGTCCCTAAAAATTGGCTTTACTTTTATTGTTTGTCATATGTCATTTTATCTTTAAAGACTGCCGGAGTTCATGATTCCTGAGAAGTAACACCTTGAAGTTCTGGCACTATCTTCTACAAAGTAACTTACACTGAGCTGGCTTCCTGTTACTGTGTCAATGAAACATCAAATGTTGATACTATGTGTGAAACAACATTTGATATTGTGGCTATTAAGCTGCTTGAAAAAATTCTATACAGATGGTTTTTATGTTTACAAGACCTTGCATTTAAAAATGTATGTCATGGATGCAGGTAATAAATATTGTTTATGAATTGTTGCAGGATAGAAAATACTTATAATTGTGTACAAGATGTTAGTCTTAGCTCTCGCTATTTTTATCTTCTAAATATCTTATAATAAGGTGGTTATAAATATTTAAAGATATGAATCATTTAATTTGTTGAAGCACGGTGTGCATCATTTAGAATGGTGGTAAAGGAGAAAAGTGGACATGCCCTTCTCGTAACAGCTAAACATGAAAATAAGTTATCAGAGATAATGATATAATTCAAATTTTTAGAAATTGTTATGTTTTTCTGTATAAGCATAGCTCTTTACAGAATTATGATCTCATCCTAAGGTTACAGTTATCTAAATAGATTAATTGCTGAATTTTATTCTAGTGTTTTTATATCTTTGCTGGAAGTAAGAGAATACAAACATTTAAAATTTAAATTATTGATTTTCGGCCATGCTACAACTTTCAGAACTTAGTATTTAACCCCAGGATTTGTTCCATAGCTCTTTTAAATTCTGGAATTCCAAAAATTGTTCAGGTGAGTAGGAAAAAGCATAGAAAGAAACTGAAATGGGGAGAAGGAAATCACACTCCTTTACAAAAGAAAAGATTAAAAAAACTTAATGAGCATAGGAGAAATAATAGGGTGAAAGAGAGGAGTCAGGTGAATATTTCCAGTAATATTTTTTATATTGTGCTCAGATATGTTATGCTTTGTGCTTACATGGAAAACAGAGTGAGATTTCAGCTTTCTAACTGCTGTTCTGAGCTGTACTTTACTCCCTGTGCTTTTTTATTTTAGCACAGTCACTTCTAAGGAAGGCTTTAAATTGGCTTTCAGGGCCAACCTGAATCACACAATTCATTATCCTGCTGAAATGATGACTACCCCAATGTTTGTCTTCCCAAGTTAGTATTAAAAACCTACTATTAAACATGAAAAAAAATCAGAACCATTTTAAAAATACATATTTCTGTTAATTCTAGTCACTAGCATTTGGGAAAAGGGACAAGCAGGCACTCAGTAACAGTAAAGAGTGTCAGAATTTCTGTGTGAAACCTAATTGTAATAGTACTGAAATAGAAAATAAAACCTGCTAATTAGATGTTACTCAGGAGGATTAGGAAAAGTCAATCAATTCATAACTAAATGTAGCTGTAGAACAATGGATTACTTACATTGGCACTCATTACAGGTTAGACATCAGTGTGGATTTCATCCATAAGCTGTAATAAAATAAAATAAGTTAGGAAATTGCAAAAAAAAAAAAGGTTCATTCAGTAATTTGTCCATAGATGTTCTTAGTTTCTGCATGATTCCCATAAGTATATACAGTATTATAGCAAGAGTATATATTTAGGGAAATCCTATACTTTTTAAACTAAGCAATTAACAAATATTCATACAGTGACTATAACTGGTCTTCATGAATTAACACACAAAAAACCCCATTTAACTACAGGGATAAGGATGTCCCATTTTTGGTACATTCATGCAGTGGTACGCATAAAACATTTTAACTGTTCACCTGAGCAACACTTCAGTGTAACTGAGCCCTGAGCTGGTGGATGGCAGAATAACATCCTCTCTAAAAGGGGACAGAGAGTGAAAATGGGTGGGGCAGGGAGAGGTCTTATGGTGCCAGTTCACAATTAATTTTGGAATGGTAACATCTACTTTTTGGAATGTAGTGTATTAATTTCTGCTGATAGAGATAGGTCAGCATAAGAACTATGCTATAAATTGCTGTGTGATAGGGTTCCCATTCCTATGCCATGTTTGTGTCACTGGACAGCAGTTTTTAAGGGCACCCAGTAAAGATATGAATACAGAAAAACTAACATAACTGTACTCTTCATTCTAAAAAGAAAATGAAATTAAATGCAGATAGAATTTTTAGAAGTTCTAAATAAGAGACTTTTTGGTCTATTTTATGGTTAAACCCTTGCCGTTTTGTTGTTTTGTATTGATGTTACACTATTTAATGTTTCATGATTGGTTTAGATCATGTAAATCCCATTTCAAGTATATTTAAATTTTAAAGACGTCTTTTTAATTGCATTGTAACTGGCAACTCTGTGTTGTCCTCATGTAATAGGCAGTATCAAGATGAGTGTATTCTGAAGTAGTTGATAGTGGAAGCCCACTCCAATCCCAGCACTATGTCTTTCAGACTTTCCATATTGACAAGGAAGAGCCAACAGTGAGCGGTCCATTTGGTATCTTCCAGCCCCCAGATCACTGCCCAGGAGGAAAGCTCACTTTCCCATTCCCTTCTCTGCTCATTTATGCTTTGATACTGCTGTTCTGAAAGTGCACAGTCTTGGCTTTGCATCTGGGCTGGCAAGCTGGTGAAGGTGGTATGAAGAGGTTGTTTCCACAGACCAGTTCCACACTGGTTTCCTGCACACACTGGGCTGTGTACCAACTTTAAAACCAGACCTTCCCCATGACTCTTTTATTTAATTATAGCTACTTTAAAATAACCATTATGTCTCCATGACCATGACATTGGATTTCAGCATTTTTTCACAGCAGTATTTACTGTATTTAGTAACAAATTACTGAAATATCAGCCATGCTATTTTAAGAACGAGTTAAATGTGATATTTAATTAATTGTGTCTTAAAGTTTGGAATAGAGAATCCCAGTAATATTAAGCTTAAATTTTTAATTACAGCAGATAAACTTAAAGCCCTATAGTATATAATTAGTTCTAACAGAAAAGCAAACTTCCTTTTATTTGGGTCAGACTTAATTTTTGTGCTCAGTGTAGTGCACACAAGTACTGCTCAGTAATAAAAAATATTATGCAGCACAGATCTCCTACATTTTCTGTGCAGATGAAAATCATTAGTAAATTTTCCTTGTTCAGATTAAAGGAAGTTGAAAATATGCTGAATCACTTATTATTTTAATCCAGATGTTGTTATCCATAAATATTAATCTCGAAGATAAAATGCTAGCTTAATAAATACTAGTAAACTTTACAAAATTAATTACATTTTAAATATGTGATTCAGAGTCTAAGATTCAAATCTTAGGATGGGATGAATCGCCCTCTGGAGGTGCCCATTTTAGTTTCCTGACTTCACAGGAATCTTGCTCTGAAGTGACTAGTTCAAACTAAAAGTTAAGTGACTGGCCTATCACCTTCATTGAGAAATAACTGAACATTTCGTACCCCAGTAGATCTTGTTATTAGACCTCTCTAAGAATGGCTGCCTTATTCCTCACCTTTTCTGTCAGTGTTCTTGTACTGTTTCTAATATGAATAAACACAAGTGTTACTGCTGCCATTTCCTGTATATTGTTTTTTCCTGTCCTTATCAATCTTGTTATCTTATCTTTCCCTGTTTTTTTTTTCTTTTTCTTTTTTTCTTGACTCTCTACAGCTGCCATCTTTTCTGAAGCTTTTCATTTGCTACCTCTCTGACAATCCTACTTTCCATGTTGAAAGTATTATCCCAACTTCTGATGTGGAAGATTGCCGGCCCTTTCTTTGATGCTGATACCAGTATTTTATTGACTAATAGTATTGTAATGAAGACATAGAAAAAGAAGACTATGGTACTCATGAGATTTTTTTATGGTTTGTGTAGTCAAAAAATATTGTTCTTTTGCCTTCATATAAAATGTGTTGGTTTCCCAATGTAACTGTAACTTAAAGATGTTTGTAGAAATGTAAAATTAAATGTGAATAGTATAAAATCCATATTAAAGACATAAAAGTTTAATAAAATACAGCATTAGTCTTTATTTTAACAACTGAGTCCTACATGGCTCACTTGCAAAATGTGGGGTAGACTTACAAAGTTGCATACTGGTAAAGTCCAACTTACTAAAAGGTGGAATTTCTTTGTCTGTAATTATTAAAAGGTCAACATATTTTCTTTCTCCCTCTGGTAATATTTTCTTGTTATACCTGTTAAAGATCTCTCCTTCTTTTCAGTTCTGTCTTCTCCACTTTTTTAGTTCCTTTTGTTAACCTCAGTTTGTGGTTCCTTTCTACCCTGGTCTCCTGGTCTCTCCTAACTCTTTTAGTCCAATACTGATCCCTTTTTTCACATGTTTGCATCCATTTGAGTAGAATATTGTCTTGAGCATGATCATATATACCCAAGAATGTATTTACTTCTAAATGCTGGATGGATCTGCTATTTTAGGACTTCAAGTAAAGCAGAGAAGAAACTTAACAATTCACAACAGTGTTTTAGGTTTTTTTATTATACATATGCCTTCAGAGGATCAAAGTACCTTGCTTTGTACATCAGTGGAATAGTAGCTATAGGAAGAGATAAACATTCCTGTAAAAATAAAGACTTATGGTACTTGTTCAATATAGGAATGCTAACTTAAAAAGAGCATGAATGAAACCATGCTGTGTTCATAAATTGTATGGCAAATGTTTTTAGTTTTGTTTGCACATAAAGAAAAATGCTATTGGAAAGAGTGCCTTGTACTGATAGCAATATAAGGAGATAGAAATTTTTGAAAAAGACAACTAAAAGTTATACATGCATAAAATCAGGAGAATTTTTTACAAACATGCTCTGCTCTAGCAGAAATACTGAATAACAGTTAATGTTTTTTATAGGATAGATACCTACATATGTTATTAGGTATACTAAATGTTCTTTAGGTAATATAAATAATTTGAATTGCAGTAAAATGAATGCCATGATAAAACATAAACAGTGATGTTCAGAACTTTTGATTTTTATGTGTAAAATATTATTCTGTAGCCTCTTCTGGTACCTACAATAATAGGCAAAAAGAATGGTGCTAATAATAGCAATATACTAGAAAATTATTGGAGGTGTGAGTGAGAGTAATTTATGGTGCCTAAAAGTTTTTAACTAGTCCAGTTACCTGCAGGACTTTGCATAATTTGGAGGCCATTAACAAAACACCTTTGCTAGATGTGTGTACTGAGCATGAGAATGACATTACAGACAATGATTAGGATGCAAAGGAAATTCAGAATCTCTGAAATGATTATACCAATGAGGAGTTTATGTTGAACCATAGAAGCAGTAAGTTTTTGCCAAAATTATGTTGCATTGACTGCAACTAAATTTCTAAAGAAAAGCTATATTAAAATTATCCATAGAAAACAAAAGAATATTAAAACCCATGTAAAACCTGATGGGGCTTTCTGCAGTATACCCTCAAATGATGCAAATTGACATCATACATTTAAGTCATTACTGGTTGCTGAAGATTTGCCCTTTCTATTAACAATATAAGGGAATACAAATCCTGAAATAATCTATGACTTAATACTCTTGTTCATTTTACAGTAGAGCTGCTATGGACTAAGGCCTTGCTCATAATGAAAAATAACACAATTCTAACACTGGCATATTATTGTTAGAAGGAAGTACATCAAACTGACTTAGCATAGTTTTAGAAAACTAGTTTTGAGTGTACTGTATTGGTGTAGCTTAAGTCACAAAACTATTGCTTTTTTGATAATACTACTAATCTAAAATTCAGACTTGTAGGTGGATGATAAGATTATTTCTACACTCAGTTTTGTGTATTTTTGAGATTTTTGAGTGATGAAATCTCGCTTTAAAAAATCAGTTAAAATGTCCTTATTTTAAAATCTATTAGGATCAGTAAGGAAAGCATAACTGAGAATACTAACAAAACAGGAAAGATATTTCAGCAAATGAATAAGTGTAACCATAGGGAAACATTTGTCAGAGGAGAATAAATCTGAGAGAATTGCTACATTAAGATGTGAAAACATAAAGTCCTGCAGGAAATAATAATGAAAAAATAGGTCTTTCTGTTCATAAATACAGCTTAGGTACAGGTGGTCTTGAGAGATGCAATACCACTACAAATTCCAAGAATTGTTCTTTGATTGCATTAGAAACAGTACTGGCTAAGACATAAATAGAACATAATAGCTACTATCTGTAGCTATATAAGGAAAATAAAATGAGGGAAACATAATTTATAAAGTAATCACCCTGCTTGCAGACTCTGCAGATCACATGGCTGGCAGATACAGAAATAATTTCACAAATGAAAATGGAAGAAGCAAAATTCATGAAGATTGTATTGAAGGTTTGATTTGTTTGACTTTCTCTAGGCCTATGAGAGTTTCCATGATTATCATATATATATAAAAATATATATATACACATATATACACACTGATATATTATATTCATGGTATAAATACATAAATACATTTCCATATATATAGCAATATATATGGAAATGTATGAAAAGCTGTAAAAGAGGAATTTGATTTATGTGCAAGAGGTTCTTCAAAGTAGGTTAGAGGATTTTTGTATGGTACTTAAACAACTGGAAGAAGTAATGAGAGTTAATTCAGTACTGGATCTGATAGTGATCAGGAAAAAAGGAGATACTAGATCTAACACTAAGATCTTATGACTGTTCAATACTTCTGCTTTATTAAAAAGACCAGAAAAAGTGTAAACATACTGTGAAAATCACTGACATAAAGACTGACAGAATGATTTTGAAGAGTAATAGCAAAAAGCTGGTTCAGAGTAACATTGCAATAATAAGAGAGATTCCACTGTAAAAAAAATGTTTAGCGAAATATAAAGTTAGAGAAAAGGAAACGGAACTGGAAAGGAGAACTTTAAATTTACCATCATACAAAGAAAGAACAGAAAGAGAGCTCAGACCATGTGATGCTATCTAAGAAAGCCTAATTATCCACTTAATTAGTGTAATTTTTCTAATATATTCTGAAAGTATGTGAAAATCTTAAAAGAATGCAAGAAAGCAGATTTTTTTCAAGTTTCTTGAGCAGTTTTTTTTTTTTTCCCAATAGAATAATACTGAATAAAAGGAAGTCTTAAGACCACTGTCTGAATCAGATCACTTATTTGAAAAGATACTTGAAGAAACAGTGAACAATAATGATAATCGAGAATACAGAAAAATGTCTGAAAATATTAAGGGTTCCAGCTTCTGTGCCCTCGTTCTGCTCACTGGAGGTAGCACATGGTAACCAAGATCCATTCCTACAAACAGGCTGAGAATTTGCCTGCTCTGGGGAAGTTACAGTCAGCCTAACACTGGTCTGTCCTTCACCCATACCAACAGCTCAGTCCTCTGTGCAGGTTTGTGACTGGCATCAAATGAAGGTATCTCTCTACCAGTTTTTGGCTGCATTTAATTTCTTAGGTCACATAGAAAAGAAAATGCACCACAGCCCAGTCAAGAGCCGGTAGCAAACTACAGCTCATGTTTGCCTGGCTAACCCACCTGCTCTCCTGAGCCAGGGTAACCTCATTTGTACTGCCTATTAGAAGATTCCCTAACCCATTCCTCAAATCCTGCAGTATTTTACCCGAGTGCTTGTTGGCCTCGGCTAAAAGCATACCAAAGAGCAGGCAAACAGTTAAAGGGTGTGGATTATCACATGGTTGAGCTCAAGTATGTGCCTGAGCCCTCTGCAGCTCAGTAAGACACATGTAACCTTATGAACTACATCCAGTTGGCAGTAATTACAACTAATGTATTACATTTTGATATAATACATGACAATTAAAAGAAAAATAGAAAATCTGAAAAATCTGAAAAATTTGGCAAGGTTACAATAAAGAACACAGCATAGGACCATTTGGGTAAATAGATTTCATTCACTACTAAAATGTAGTTTGGGTCACATCTACCTCATAGGATATAGGCCTGAAATATGCTTGTGGTATTTTATTCTGAGACTTTTGAGAAGGAGCTGATGCGGAAGTGGGCATGCTTCAATATAAAACAGTCACCTCATCATGCACACGATAGGATAAGGGCTCTACTGAATATGCAGTTTTCAAAAAAAACCAATATGCAGTAATGTCTTGGAATGAGTGCAATCTCTGTATTACTTGGACAGGTGTTCCGTACGTGATATAATTACCATTAGGTTCCAGGTCTCCTTTTGACCTGTGAGGTCACCAGTTATTTCCATAGTGATTTCAAATTTTTTAGGTTGTAGAAAACTATGTGCAGGAAAAACTGCACAAAAAGGGAAAATGAAATTACTTTCATAGACTGCTTTGTGACCTGGGATTAACTGCTTAAGTCTGAAGACAGAAAATAAAAAAGGAAAGGAAAATGTGGCACATCAGACAATGCTGGACCATGATCAATTAGCATTCAGTTGAGTATTGTCTTTTAAGTCACGTACATGTAAAGAGAGGAAATAAACTGCTCAAATAAAAACAAACACATATGTATTTTCATACTAACTACTCTGGTGAGTGCGGAGGACATAAAGTACATAAATGAAAGAAATTGGGCAAAATTGTAGGATGCTATAAATCAAAGGAAAATAGCCAAGAGTTTGAGAAGTAAGATTAGGAGTAGGGATTTGGAAACCGTCCTTAATATGAAATTATTCTTAATGGAACACTGGTAAGAAATTAGATCATCATAACAACAATTCAGTGTAAATTTGCCTGTAGATTTAGCATTTGGAGAAGCTGTTCTGCAGAAGTGCAGGCAGCTTTTCTGGAGGAACAAACCAGCTGACCTGGGTTAACCATATTGCTATGGACCAGATGTGCAACACAGTAGGGAACTGCATTACAAAAAATACCTTTTGTAGTATGAATGTATGAATCTGTACATTTGGCTTGCTTTACATCAGTAGGGTTATGTTTTTACCAATACTAGGCATTATATTAAAAGAAGGAAGAGACTATCAATGAATAATATAAGAAACTGGAATTAAGTGCACATAGAGAATAA